TTGGAAGGAAAAGTGTTTCAACATATATCCTTTAAGCGTATAAAGAGATCTAAAGTTTAGAAAAGAGGGAAAAAATAAAACTTGGAAAAGTTAAGCAATAACGATTTTATTTTACCCTTACAAATATCTAATTCTTACTCCACCTCTCTTGCTTTATCCAATAATTGACAACTTTTTATTCAATCTTTCACTGTCTATATGTGTAATGCTAATGAACATCCTAAGGCAAACCAATTTTAACAGGATGAACCACATATCATCTAGATAGTTATGCTGCTGAAATAATAATTATTTATATCTTTAGCATAACTAATATGAAAAATTACTCAAAAGATTATCAAAATATTTTGGAGCATCATCATCTTAGTTCATTACCAAGATAGATTGATAAATAAAATAAAGAACTGATCATATTACCATGATAAGGTCAGTTTATGTTATGGTTCATAGAACTTTTATAATTTGTTGGATAGATGAAGCACAAAACCAGCTTGTGGATAATGGGAGAAAACCCAGTTGTACGCCAAATCAAATTATCTAGGTAGATATTTTCTAAATCTGTTAATGCGCTGATTATATAATAAACGATCTCATTGTTCTGCATCTAAAAATGCTAGAGCAATTGTGCATAATAGATACACCAAATAACATGTTTAGGTTTATGTTCTTTGGATGAGGTTCTTAAAACACCTTCATATCTTTGCGATTCTACTTTCGTGGTAGCAAAAACATACATTAACAGAATCACATGGTCACTGTATTAGAGTTTGAAACTAGAACAATTGCAGTACACAAATTCAGGCAAGGGCATTGATGATCAAAAACTTGAGCAATAGCTCTCATGATCAGTGGATTCCACAGAGTATTCCTTATCGATAAAGTTCTTTTTTTTTCGCCTGCATATTTTGCTCAAGTACGTCCTGCTAGGGTAAATGCAGCACCCCATTTTCTGCACTTTAGAATTTCATAACTTTCTAAATTACTGTAAATAGTATTATACGACATATAACCCTTTAAAACTGTATATTAATTTTGAACTTACCAGATTATTCTAAAAACAATATGAGTTTTGAAACTGAAATTTTGCATTAAACGCATATTATGCAAAGAAAAAACTGAAAGAAATCTTGACAACCCGTATTCAATACCATCAACAGTAACAGTAGCAACAACAATAGATGGAAACAAAGGCAAATAGCGCACAGTACTTTTGAGAACTGATGAGATTTTAATTTTCAAATTTATTTTTTCTAATCTCTCAACAAAATTGAAAAAAGATAATTGCGATTAAAATAATAATTTATTATGCAATTCTAATTGTAACTTGGCCATACCAGAAGAAGAGAAAAATGTCTCCTGGAGTTCTCGTGATCCAATAGATTGTTGCTACGGCTTCGATGAATCTCAAAAAGGGAAAACCCCAATATCACGCCTGCTATGGAACAATTAAAAAAAAAAAGAATTTAATACAAAGATACATGATATAAACATGAAACTTTATACCTTCAAATCTTTCTCACAGACAGTAAAACTCTCTCTTTTACAGAAAATATCTGTTACAGAGATATAATCTCAAATGGAATAATCAAGAGAGTTGTATTTAATTATTTGTTACAGAAATTAAAAGATTGTTCATGAAATACAAATCATACCAATCACCTCTTGTAGTCCAAAATTATTATATGATATGAATACTTCGAAGAAAGAATAGAACTATATACTGTAAAAAAGAAAACTAATTTGACAAAACTGTGAAATCATGTTACTGAGAATGTAGCGCAAAAGAGTTCGTGGGTGAGAAGTTGAAATCGTGGTGAGAGATCGTGGGATGAGAATGGAGCGCAGAAGAGTTCGTGGGTAAGGAAAATTGAAATCGTGGGGAGAGATCGTGGGATTGAAGAACCGAATCTGTAGGATTGATATTTTTAGGGCAAATAGGCGTTGCTTTCCCAAAAAAAAAATAGAGTGTAAAAATTACCGTGTTCCGTAAAAATGGTAGATATAAAGTGTAGAAAGTACCGTTTCTTTTTCTTTTTTAAAAAATATACCTATTTAATTGTTTTCAAATTCAAAATTTAAAAAGAGAAACTAATTTTACCTAAATTAACTAATTTGTCCTAAAAATTGCTACATGGCTCTTTATGCTCACGACACTTGGCAAAATCTCAGGGATGACTTTCTTCCTTTTAAGTAAATATAGATTCTATATTTATACACTTGCTATATAACAGGTTTCCCTCCTCTGAAAAAGTCCTTGTCCTCAAGGACTAAAGTGAGCAAATTGTTGTTATTACATGCGAAGATCCATCCCTGTATACTATCCTCCTTAGGACAGTTAAACCATTTCACAAGGACCTGGGTGATCTGGTGCCCATGCTTAGTTATGATCCTCTCCTCCAAAATGGCCTCAGGTTCCAAAACAATGCATCCATTAGGTGATAATGAGACTGATAAATCTGGAATCACAGTAGCAGTACCAACATGTTTCTTCAGTTATGAAACATGAAATGTGTGATGAATTTTGGCTTGAGGGGGAAGATCCAGCTGATAAGCTACATTGCCCACCTGCTTTAGGACCTTGAAAGGGCCAAAGTACTTGGGACTGAGCTTGTGATAGGAGTGCCCTTTGAGAGATATTTGCCTGTAAGGTTGAAGTCTTACCAAAATCATATCACCAACATGAAAAGTCCTGGGAGTTCTCTTCTTGTCTGCCTGTGCCTTCATTCTACATTGAGTCAACTGTAAATGGTGTTTGAGAAGTCGTATGGTAGCTTCTCTAGCTTGCAGACTTCTATCCACCTGATCCACTATAGAGGTACGAGCTATTTAAGGCATGTGAATAGGTGGCTTCTGCCCATAAAAAACTTCAAAAGGAGTCATTTTGATTGCAGTGTGATAATTCATATTATACCACCATTCTGCAAGGGGTAGCCATTGTAGCCATCCTTTAGGCCGATCATTACACATGCATATGAGGTATCCTTCCACACATTTGTTCACCACCTCCATTTTTTTTAAAACAAAGTCCACTAGGCATTGTGCCTAGGGTTAATTTTCATAAATATAAAGTAATGTACAATAATGGAGGGAGACATAAACCTTACCTCCCAAAGGTTGGATGTGCACTTGATCATCCAATACTGACAACCAAATGGACCTAAAATTCTATATGAAGATAGACCTATGGAGAGACACCAGTTGCCTATCCAACATTGATAGACTACTGGGTATACAAAAGCATGGTGAAGGAAACCTAGGTCAACTATAAAAAAATGCACAAGTGATCTTAAATCTACTAAACAAAAGAGTTGGAAGTTCATCTTCCATATACAACAAGATCTACATCTTCTAAAGAATAGAAACTTTCTATGGAGTATGAAAAAAAAAAGTGATCATGGGCCAAACCTTATTCAGCTTTCCTTTGACAATGAGACCAAAGGAAGCCTAGTTGAAGAAGGTTAACAAAAAGTACCCAAGTAGGCGGGCATACATGCTGATTCTGCCTAGAAATTCTGACAGAAAAGAGTGAGCATCTTCTTGCTGCCATCATCCAAAAGTTCTTGGAAGTTGCAGGTTCTGTAGGTGGCTTATGGCTTCTTGGATTGTTGCTGCAGCAGGTGAGCTTCTGCTGCTGGTAACTGGTGGCTTTATTCTGTAGAGTACATAGGTTTGGACCCCTATTATTGCCTTGTGGAAACTCTGTATAATTGGCAGCTGACTACATGTAAAGCTCCTGCTGATGAAGGTACAGAGATGTGTGGTTACTCAGTTTTTGAGTTGTCCAACCTTGGCCTTCAGTGCTATGTCTGTTGGGTCTGATAGCTTGTGATCCCTGACGAAACCTGTGAGTCATGTATGTCATGTGTGCCTGTAGGTGAGCCAAGTTGGAAGTACCCTTATGATAGGTCCAGGAGAATTGTTGCATTTGCAAGGGAATGAGCATGAATGATGCTAATACCACACCTTGTAAATGCAGCAATACTCTGAACCTATCCATAGTACCTGCAAAAAGAAACAAACTTGTTAGAAGAAAGAAATCTACTCTCAGGTTCTTGTGTGTTCTGAGAGTAGTGAGAGGGGTTAATTTTAGGATGATGAAGGTGTGCTGGTAGTTGGAAAGAGAAAGCTGTGGGTTAGCATTTTGGGGAGCTGGTAGATTCTGGTGGCATTTCAGTTGTTGTGTGGCAGTGAGCATGTAGAAAGTGCTGCCACTCAAGGCCATTGTTTCCCTCCCCTATTTCAGCTTGAAAGGTAGCACTGTCCCCCAGGTTCTTTTGGGTTCTGGGTGATAGTTGTGCTGTTTGTAGAGGGTGAAGTATGACTCTTGCTGTTGATGAATTTGGAGGTGGTAGTATAGATCATGGATGTAGTGATGTTCCTGCTTCTGCTATTTTTTTTAGCAGGTTCAAAGTGGTGAATTGGTTGAGGCAATTGGTATACTTCCAGTAGGATGAACACCCTAAGTGTTGATACCACCCACTGAAAGTATGTCAATTGGCCTAGCATGCCTTCACTGGAAAAACCTGCAAAAAAGAAGCCAAAGTTAGGGAGAAGCCAGGTGTCCCTGCTTCTGTAATTGCAATGGTGTTTTGGATTAGTGGGAAAAAGGAAAAGGTTTTTGTGACTGGGTAATGTGGAGTGTAGGTTATGGTTCAGGTGATGTGTGGTGTAAGGGCAGGAAAGCTGGAATTATTTATGGCGAGGGAGGTTGGGAAATTGCTGGGGGAATGATGATTGCGTGTTTTGGAAGGGCTGGTGTAGTGTTGATTGGTTCTGTGAACTCTGTATGTGAGGTGTTCGGTCTATGTTATGTGTGTGATGGGTTGTGTGGGATTCTATGCTGGGGTGGGATCAGGAAAGGGCTTCCTGCAGAACAGAGGTGGTTTTTAGAGTAGGCTGCTGCTGTAATATTCTCCTTCATGGTGACAAATTGGTTCTCTCTCATTTTTAGAGTGTTCTTAGCTTGGACTGTTGGGAAGGGTAAAATGGATTCCTGAAGTTTAGCCATAACCATTAGAGGAATTGGATGTGGAATTATTGTGAGTGGTCATTTGGAACCTTTTTGTGGTTTTGTGCCTGAAAGCAAGGGTGTCTAATTGATCAAGTCTGATCTGCCCTCTAATGTGTGGTGGAAGTTCCTGCACAGAGTGGAAATATGATATGTCTTCCAACTCATGGCTCAGCTTTGATAGTGAATCAACTGGGAAATTGGCTTCCCTATAGACATGAGTGCACTTGAATTCCTCAAGGTGTTGACTGAGATCCTTCAGCTTCTGAATGAGCATCTGAAGAGACCATGGAGGTTCAGAATTGTTGTTGATCCAGTTAATCAACAAAGCAGAGTCAACTTTTAAGTGGGTTTTTGTATAGCCATTTTCCAAGCACCACTGGACACCAACAATTGCAGCTTCAGCTTGATTATTAGTTCCTTCACCAAGGGGAGTGGCCATTGCATGAATGAAATTACCATGTTGGTCCCTTATGATGGTGCCAACTCCAATTTTCCCTGGGTTACTGAGAGCATTGCCATCACTATTGATTTTTACAAAGTTGTCCTGGGGTTTCCTCCACACTACCATGGTAGTAGAGATGGTTTGGTGCAGATTCTCAGTCATTGAGTAGAGGTCAATCCAATTAGATGGCCAGCTAAAATGAGGATAGCAGGACCTTAGCAAGAGGTGGATGTCACGACCCAAGTTCGCCCTCCGTGAATAGTCGTGACGGCACCTAGTCTCTACGACTAGGTAAGCCTAACAAATGCGGAAAGAAACTAATAAAAACCAAGATAACAAAATATAACAGTGTTTAAGATGCCACCCGGCATATAATAATACAAAATTTCCAACTGAACACTCCCAAAACCCGGAATCCAATGAATCACAAGCTAAGAGTACATAAAAGGCTCTAATTCCAGAAATGTCTATTAACAAGGAAGATACAGAAGGGCTATACTAGTACAGAAAAAAGAAAGGGACTTCTCGGTCTGCGGACGCGACAGATATACCTCGAAGTCTCTATAGAGGCGCCTCGCCTCAGAGGTGATAAGACTGAGTGGAAGTACCTGGATCTGCACACGCAAAAATATGTGCAGGAAAGGGCATGAGTACACCACAACGGTACCCAGTAAGTGCCAAGCCTAACCTCGGTCGAGTAGTGACAAGGAAGGTCAGGGCCCATCCGGTCATATACATATATAGAAGGAAAACGAAACAGTATGAAGTAACACGGTATAATGATTAGAATAACAATAGAGAAAATATCGCAGAAAGAATACAGCTCAACACAAAGATAGCAACCGGGGATCTACCAGGATATCGTCCTGTAGCCCCCAAATGTAAATATCCAGCAACCGGGGATCTACAAGGATACCGCCCTGTAGTCCCCAAATGTAAATGTCCAGTGGATCTCCCGGGTGTCGTCCCGTACTCCAAGTCATAGTGCGCCGGGGCTCTACAGGAATCCCGATTCGTAGTCCCCAAATGTAAATACCCAGTACTGGGGGAATCTATTGGGTTCAGTCCCGTAGTTCCATATAACTGTGCAGGGGGATCTACCGAAATACCACATCCATAGTCCCAAATAAACAGACAAGGGGGATCTACCGGGAATCGCCCGTAGTCCCAATGTAAACATGCAGCAACAACACAAGAATAATCAACTCAATTCAATTTAATATCAAAATAGACAGGAAATCCTAACCTAGCATGCTGCGCAGAGTTCGGATAAATCAGTTTGAGCAAGTAGGCAATTTAGTCATTTAGGCATGCTTTCCTAAGCTAACAGTAAGCTCAAAGTTCAAGTAGCGTACACAGTGAAGTAAAATACGAAATATAGGTACTTAAATGAAAAATAGGATTTTCAACAATCAACACAAGTACGCGCTCGTCACCTCACGTACAAGGCATTTCAAATATCACAGTACCAAATCCTAAGGGGAGTTCCCCCACACAAGGTTAGACAAGCCATTTACCTCGAACCAGCTCAATCAAATCTATACCACGTTCTTGCCACGAGTATCCGATTCCAAATGGCCCAAATCTATTCAAAGTAATTGCATAATTTAAATAACACTTCAAGTAGTTAATTCAACTAACAAATTTTAAGCTAAATTAGGAAAAATGACCAAAACGCCCCCCCGGGCCCACGTCTCGGAATCGGGTACAATTTACAAATTCAGAAGCCTCACACTCTCATGAGTTCATACATACCAGAATTGTTCCAATCCGCATCAAAATCTTGATCAAAACCCCAAAATTAGGCCTAAGAACCTTTTCCAATTTTTCTCCAAAACACCGAGTAAGGATTACTTACCCAAAACACCCAGGTGAAAAATCTCTCTCAAAATCGCCAATTCGAGCTCCCAAATCAATTTTTCTAAGTTTTGAAACTTAACCCTCGATTCTGCCCCTTTTCTGACCAGTGAAACCGCATCTGCGGCCATTGGACCGCACCTGCGGTCCCGCTTCTGCGTAGACCAAGTCGCACCTGCGACTTTTCATTAAAAACCCAGCTTCCGCACCTGCGACCACTTTTACGCAGATGCGGTGCCGTTTCTGCGATGAAGCGCTCGCTTCTGCGGTCCCTGCCGGCTCTCCCCCTTTCTGCTTCGGCGATGATAGCGCCGCTTCTACGGCTCCGCACACGCAAGTGCGGTTATGACAGAAGATCAGCAGCTTCAGCTGCTCCAAACCACTTCCAATTCTTCCGACAACCTTCTGAAATCATTTCGAGGCCCCCGGGACCTCAACCAAAAATACGAACAAGTCCTATACCACTATTCAAACTTGTACCAACCTTCGGAACACTCAAAACAACATCGAATCATCAAAACACCCTCGGATTCAAGCCTAAGGATTCCAAAACTTCAAATTTCCGCTGTTGATCAAAAAGTCTATCAAACCTCATACGAATTACCTGAAATTTTGCACACACGTCCCAAATGACACAACGGACCTACTCCAACTTCCGGAATTCCATTCCGACCCTGATATCAAGATCTCACTATCGAACCGAAAACTTCAAAAATTCGACTTTCGGTATTTCAAGCCTAATTAAGCTGCGGACCTCCAAAACACAGTCCGAACATGCCCCTAAGCCCGAAATCACCCAACGGAGCTAACGGAACCAACAGAATTCCATTCTGAGGCCGTCTTCACACTGCTCCAACTACGGTCCAAATTCTAAGGCTAAAACTCTCATTTAGGGACTAAGTGTCCCAAAACACTCCGAAATACAAAACGAAACCTCCCAACAACTCACAATAGCAGAAACAAACACGGGTAACGGGGCGTAAATTCTTAAAACGACCGGCCGGGTCGTTACATCAACCCACACTTAAACATTTGTTCATCCTCGAACGAGCATAGAGACATACCTGAAGTAGTGAAAAGATGAGGGTAACGGCTGCACATATCTTGCTCGGTCTCCCAAGTCGCCTCCTCGACCAGCTAACCCTTAAACCTTCACTGATGCAATGTTCTTTGACCTCAGCTTCCGAATCTGCCTGTCCAGTATCGCCACTGGCTCCTTAATGTAAGATAGATCCTTGTCCAACTGGACTGAACTGAACTCCAACACGTGCGACAGATCACCATGATACCTCCGGAGCATCGAAACATGAAATACCGGATGAACTCCTACCAAGCTAGGAGGTAAGGCAAGCTCATACGCAACCTCCCCAACACGCCGCAATATCTCAAAAGGCCCAATGAACCTCGGACTCAATTTCCCTTTCTTCCCAAATCTCATAACGCCCTTCATAGGCGAAACTCGCAGCAAAACCCGCTCTCCAACCATATAGGAAACATCCCGAACCTTCCGGTCTGCATAACTCTTCTGTCTGGACTGGGCTGTACGGAGTCTATCCTGAATCACCTTGACTTTCTCCAAAGCATCTTGTACTAAGTCTGTGCCCAATAATCTAGCCTCGCCCGGCTCGAACCAACCCACCGGGGACCTACACCGCCTACCATACAAAGCCTCATACGGTGCCACATGAATGCTGGATTGATAGCTGTTGTTGTAAGCAAACTCAGCCAGTTGCAAGAACTGATCCCAAGAACCTCCAAACTCCATCACACACGCACGGAGCATATCCTCAAGAATCTGAATAGTGCGCTCATACTGTCCGTCCGTCTGGGGGTGAAATGCTGTGCTTAACTCCACCCGAGTGACCAACTCCTGCTGTACGACCCTCTAGCACCGTGATGTGAACTGAGTACCTCTATTTGAAATAATAAAAACTGGAATACCATGCAGACGGACAATCTCCCGGATATAAATTTCCGCCAACCGCTCTGAAGAATAGGTGGTACACACAGGAATGAAGTGCGCGGACCCAAGTTCGCCCTCCGTGAATAGTCGTGACGACACCTAGTCTCTACGACTAGGTAAGCCTAACAAATGCGGAAAGAAACTAATAAAAACCAAGATAACAAAATATAACAATGTTTAAGATGCCGCCCGGCATATAACAATACAAAATTTCCAACTGAACACTCCCAAAACCCGGGATCCCATGAATCACAAGCTAAGAGTACATAAAAGGCTCTTACTCTAGAAATGTTTATCAACAAGGAAGATACAGAAGGGCTATACTAGTATAGATAATAGAAAGGACTCCTCAGTCTGTGGACGCGGCAGATATACCTCGAAGTCTCTATAGAAGCGCCTCGCCTCAGGGGTGATAAGACTGAGTGGAAGTACCTGGATCTGCACACACAAAAACATGTGCAGGAAATGGCATGAGTACACCACAGCGGTACCCAGTAAGTGCCAAGCCTAACCTCGGTCGAGTAGTGACGAGGAAGGTCAGGGCCCTACCGGTCATATACATATATATAAGGAAAACGAAATAGTATGAAGTAACAAAGTATAATGATAAGAATAACAACAATTACAACAGAGAAAATATCGCAGAAAGAATACAGCTTAACACATAGATAGCAACCGGGGATCTACCAGGATATCTTCCTGTAGCCCCCAAATGTAAATATCCAGCAACCAAGGATCTACCAGGATACCATCCTGTATTCCCCAAATGTAAATGTCCAGTGGATCTCCCGGGTGTCGTCCCATAGTCCAACTCATAGTGCACCGGGGCTCTACCGAAATCCCGATCCGTAGTCCCCAAATGTGAATACCCAGTACTAGGGGAATCTACCGAGTGCAGTCCCGTAGTTCCATATAATTATGCAGGGGGATCTACCGGAATACCATATTCGTAGTCCCAAGTAAACAGAGGATCTACTGAGAACCGCCCGTAGTCCCAATGTAAACACGCAGCAACAGCACAAGAATAATCAACTCAATTCAATTTAATGTCAAAATAGACAGGAAATCCTAACCTAGCATGCTGCACAGAGTTCAGATAAAGCAGTTTGAGCAAGTAGGCAATTTAGTCATTTAGGCATGCTTTCCTAAGCTAACAGTAAGCTCAAAGTTCAAGTAGCGTACACAGTGAAGTAAAACACGAAATATAGGTACTTAAATGAAAAGCAGGATTTTCAACAATCAGGACAAGTACGCACTCGTCACCTCACGTACAAGGCATTTCAAATATCACAGTACCAAATCCTAA